AGGGAGAAACATCAACGTGAGAGACACACTGACTGGTTGCCTCCCACATGCGCCTTGACCAGGGCCTGGGGATCAAACCTGAAACCCTGGTATGTGCCCTTGACAGGGAATCGATCCTACAACCCTTTGGTGTGTGGGTTGATGCTCTATCCACTGAGCCACATGGGCCAGGGCTCACTATCCTTGTTTTTCTCTCCTCAAATCTTAGTAAAATGCCATTCCAAGAAGACACACCATTTGTCAAACCCTGCCAAGGTCTGCACTCCCTCCTCTGGAGACAGGTGGGCACCTCCCATCCTGCCACTCATCCATGCCAGTGGCAGGGAGAGCATGGAAACAGTATGGGCATACAGGCACAATTCAGAAGAGGGTGTCCTACATATGCCACCTTCCAAACATACAGACCCCAGGACCTGAGGTCAGCTAGAAGGTCTGGAAGGCAGGAGGGTATAAACATTCCCCTTCAGACACTGTCTCACTCATTCCCATGGTTCAGTAGGACAGATGGGAGGACGTCAACCTGGGGAGGAAGAGGACAGGGCCTCACACTTCCACCTCCCTGGAGAGCCTTCCCAGACCAACACGCAGCTGACACCCCTGCCCGACGCTGTAACCACTCAGAGCTGCAGAGATTCCCACTCACCAGGGGCTCCTGAGAACAATGAGGTAAGAACCAGTGCCCACAGCTTTACATTGGGGGGCCCTACCAATCAAGCCATCTAAGCACTGTGCCCCCAGAACCAGCCCTGTCCCTGCCCCCCGGCAGTTGCTGCTGAGAGTGCCAGGTTATTACCTGTTCAGCTTGGTGGACACCCACCTGAGCAGGTACAAGTGCAGGCCAAGAATCGGGAAGAGACAATTTTCCCCTGCCAGCAAAGTGTGGAACAGTGGAATGTGTTTAGGAACCCTCCTTTGCTAAAGGTTATTAAAGATGCCAAGAAATACCTGCAACCCCAGCACAAAGCCCCGACTGCTCCCTGAGAAACTCCACCCTTCTCTGGGGCCCAGACAAGGGACTTTACCAGCAACACGAAGACTCAGAGCTCTGGCCAGGAGAGCACCAGTGTCTTTGGGCCACCTGTTACCACCGCCATCAGTAATCACTTCCACTCACCACAACTTAGATCTGTGCCAGGCACAGTGCCCAGCGCTTTATATCCACTACCAATTAACCTTTGCAACCACCTGGTATGACTAACGGGGGTTGCCATTTTACCAGTGAGGAAATGAAACTAAGTGACCTGCCTGAAGTCACACTGCCAAAGTAAGGGCAAGAAGATCTAACTCCAGGGCCAGGTATTGTCACCTCTCCCTCTCATCTCACTATCCCACACCTCACTACTACTCCCTAAACCCACACCCCTGGCCACACCTCTTGGTCAGCAAAACCCAGCTACCAAGAGACAAGAAAGAAACTGTGAGAGGGTGACAATGGGGCTCTTTCTTGGCAGGCTAACAGGATGTAATTTTAGTTTCTCTTTTAATGCCCTAAATCTGAAAAGGCCACACTATTGTACCTGACCACCCGAATCCCTGAAAAGACAACAAACTCCCATCTCTTCCAAGTCTTCATTCTTCACCAGCTGCCATCACCGAGTGTCAAGTCTTTCCATGGCCCCTCGGCATGGCCTGCAGAGCCGCCTCCTGCCTCATGAGAGGCGGAGGCGGGGACCCCAAAATGGAGCTACCTTCAGCCTCCCCAGACAGGACAACCAGCAGAGGCTGAGTGGTGACCGCAGGTGCCAGGGTGCAGGGTTGCCCCTTCTCAAGTAACCTGAAACAAACACATTGCCCTCAGGCAGGTGATTAACTCATCTCCCCAACAGAATGAAGGAGGCCGTTCACCCCCTCCCACCTCGCCCTGAAAGAAACCGACCTCATGGCAGCCTGGGGAGGGGCTGTGGGTTCTCTGCTAAAAGGGCCCAGGCACCCCAGAGCCCACAGCCCAAAGCATTTGTTGTGGCCACAGGCCCAATAATCTCTTGAATTCCCTGACTAGTTTTAACCCACAGGCAGCATTAGAGAACCTGCCATCTGCCTCAGCCCCAGTCCCTTGGGGGTGAGGGGTCAGCAGAGAACAGGACTGTGGACTGGTTAAAGGCAAGAGCCTTGGTATCAAACCTCAATTCAACTCCTGATTGACCAACTAGCTAAGTCACTTCACCCTCCCTGGGCCTCACTTTTCTTGTTCATAAAATGGAAATAATGACAGGACTCTTTTTATCAGGATTAAATGAAATGAAGTAGGTAATGTCCTTAGCGACAGACTCAGCCCAGGATAAGAACATCCGGAGTCAATGCCTTGGTCTGACCAAGAGGTCTTAGTCTAGTTTGGGCCTGGACACACGGGGCACCCAAAGACACCCATCCTCCCCTAAAGAGCCTCTGACCCCAGTTGGCCTCCTTAAGGCCTCGCTAACAGTTACTGAGACACTAGAGGCTCAGGAAGCTCATCAGCAAGTAGTTACAGAAAGCGACACTAGGCAGACCGCAGGACGGGACCCCTGGGGTTTTGGGGCATCTCTGACCAAGTGTTCACTACAGGGCTAGCCCAGCGACAGAAACCCACAACAACTGCTCGGGATCCAGCCCCTTGACCAGGGTCACCCAGCCAGCAGCCCCTAACATCCCCCCCATGCTGCCAGCCACCACCACAGGGGCTCTTTACCCCTCACACTTCCCACCCTCGGAAGATTCTGCAGCCAGCCTGAGGTCTGCCCCGTTTCCATGCTGAAGGCAGGAAAGGGATCTCTGGCCGAAGAACTTCCTCACCCACCTTCCCAAGCGCCCCCACTCACACAGGGACCACTGGAGGGCGACAAAGGAGAGGCCTACCAAAGCAGCAGCTACTATGGATCAGACACTGGCTCCTACTCTGGTGCTTACACCACCATGGAAGCAGGAGCCCTCTCAGAAGTCCCCTCATCTGTACAATGGGGACAATAATAGTATCACCTGCAGAGGGCTCAATGAGATCCTTGTGAGGCCCAGCACAGAGTACCTAGCACATAGGACTCAGCATTAAAGCAAAGCCTAAAGATAAACGCTCTGGGAAACTGAAGCACAGAACATTTAGGCAGCTAGCCCAAGGTCACACAGAACAGAAATGTAAATTCCGAACCATTTGCCTTCAGAGCCCTGCTTTTTCCTGAAACCTATTCCATTAACAGCCCAACAACCAAGAGCCCCTCCACAGTACTCCAGGCGTCTGGAGCTCCAGTTGGGTCTTCCTCCTGTTTGCAGCTAAGTGTCACAAATGTGCTGCGTCAACACAGGAGAGCAGCCCACTGGGTGAACCGGGTTCCCAGTAACCAGCTTTAGGAGGCCAAGTAGTGGCCTCTCAACAGCCTCCTATGCACCGGAGCCCCTTCCAGGCCTCCCAACAGAGAGAAGCCAGCGCCCAGAAGTCAGGGTCGGTGATGGGAAGCTGCACAGCTGACCCCAGCTGTACCACTGACAACCCAGAAAGATAACTGTCATTGACTAAGTGTCTGACAGCCAGGTGAAGCCCGTATCACTGTCATTCCGTTTCACAGACAAAGGAACCATGGGCCAGAGGGTACACTGACAGATACTGTCCTGCCAGCCCCGAGTCAGGGTGCTCAGCCACTGCCCACCCACGGACAGCAGCCATACCTCATCTGTTCCTCCTCTCACATCTTTAGGAAGGGGAAGGCTCAGCTTGACACCACCAACTGTGGCCAGCAAGGAGCTTACATCCCGACAGCCCCAGAGGCCCACCCCGTGACATTTCTACCACAACCCAGACAAGTCACTCAAGTGTGTCCAATGTCGGTGGCGAGAGGTCAGAATGGGGGCAGGCCACCCTAACTCACGTGGAGGTGATGGTGCGGAAACGCTCCTGCCCAGCCGTGTCCCAGATCTGCAGCTTCACTTTCTCCCCGTTGATCTCCACGGTCCGAATCTTGAAATCCACTCCAATTGTGGTGATGTAACTGCCTGCAAGCACACACCCGTTATCGAGGCCCTCAGGTGCCCCAGTCAGACTAGACTGCGCTCACTCTGGGCCCAGCAGGTTCGAGGTCCCAGGGACATAGTTCTGAATAAGAAAGAAGTGATCCCACCTGGGCGGAATGGCTCAGTGTGGCTCAGCAGCTGAGCGTCAATCTATGAACCAGGAGGTGATGGTCTGATTCCCAGACAGGGCACATGGCTGGGTTGCAGGCTTGATCTCCAGTAGGGGGTGTGCAGGAGGCAGCCGATCAATGACTCTCTCATCATTGATGTTTCTCTCCCCCCCCTCCCCTCTCTGAAATCAATTTTAAAAAAGAAAGACACTTCTCTGCCCTGATGGAGCCCCCTGGAGCCCACAGTCAAGGTGAGGGCAACAGACATGATGCAATGAAACAAAGTGATAAAGAGATAAGCGCCACTAAGGAAGGAAAACCAGGGATGTGACTGGGGGGAGGGATAGGCTCCTTTAATTAGAGTGGCCAGGCTGTTTGTTAGCTATGGCCTGAGAATGGTGGGAGGCTATCATGCACTTTACGTTTTTTCTTTTCTATTCTGTTCCAAACAAGCCACAAAATTAACTTCCTAACACACAAGTCATATGACCTGCAATTTGAAAAACAATGCTCAAGGCAGAGGAGACAGTAACAAAAATAGCAGTGGGCTGAGGGGGTCATGTGAGGTCAAGTACAGAATCAGAGGCAGGTAGGGAGGGGGTGCAGAGGCCTGATCTTGGGGCATCTGTACCATTTGGAGAGCTTGGACTTTCTCTTGGGTGTGACGGGAAGGCACTGAAGGTTTTCATTAGGGCATGAGCTGCATTATAAACAGCTCTCCTGGGGCATCTGTGTGAATGATGGAGTGGAAGATAATTTCTGGCCAATGTAACAGTCCTGTCAAGGCTTACCAAGGCACCAATGCTAAGACACGTTTTTGCTCCATTTGGAGNGGTCAGGGCACATGCCCGGGTTGCGGGCGAGGCAGCCGATCAATGACTCTCTCATCATTGATGTTTCTCTCCCCCCCCTCCCCTCTCTGAAATCAATTTTAAAAAAGAAAGACACTTCTCTGCCCTGATGGAGCCCCCTGGAGCCCACAGTCAAGGTGAGGGCAACAGACATGATGCAATGAAACAAAGTGATAAAGAGATAAGCGCCACTAAGGAAGGAAAACCAGGGATGTGACTGGGGGGAGGGATAGGCTCCTTTAATTAGAGTGGCCAGGCTGTTTGTTAGCTATGGCCTGAGAATGGTGGGAGGCTATCATGCACTTTACGTTTTTTCTTTTCTATTCTGTTCCAAACAAGCCACAAAATTAACTTCCTAACACACAAGTCATATGACCTGCAATTTGAAAAACAATGCTCAAGGCAGAGGAGACAGTAACAAAAATAGCAGTGGGCTGAGGGGGTCATGTGAGGTCAAGTACAGAATCAGAGGCAGGTAGGGAGGGGGTGCAGAGGCCTGATCTTGGGGCATCTGTACCATTTGGAGAGCTTGGACTTTCTCTTGGGTGTGACGGGAAGGCACTGAAGGTTTTCATTAGGGCATGAGCTGCATTATAAACAGCTCTCCTGGGGCATCTGTGTGAATGATGGAGTGGAAGATAATTTCTGGCCAATGTAACAGTCCTGTCAAGGCTTACCAAGGCACCAATGCTAAGACACGTTTTTGCTCCATTTGGAGCTTACAGTATAACACAGTGCTGCAGACAGGACACACACACACACAACTGACTCTATGAAGTGTCAAAACTCTAGGCGATAGGTCAAAGTTCAAGGTGGGGTGGAGATCAAGGAAGGCTTTGGGGAGGAGGTCACATTCTAGCCTAGCTTGAAAGAATAGGTAAAATGTCAAAAGTTGAGATTAGGTGGGGGGAAGACATCCCACCCACAGGAAAAGAGCAGAGGCAAAACAGAGGGAGAACATTCAAAAACAAGCCAGCCCAGGCACTCTGCGAGCACTGGATGACACCAAGGAGTGTGGCCAGCACCTACTGCTGCAGGCACTCAACAAGCAGCTGGTGGCTGAATGAATGAGCGAGTGAGCAAGAGAGCTTGTGAAACAAGAGAATGAATGAACAGTAGAAGCAAGAGAGGTGAGCTGAAAATAGATTATGAAGACCAGTGGTTTTCAACAGAGAGGGCTGTGTCCCTGCAGAGGACACTGGGCAATGTCTGGAGGCATTTTTGGTTGTCACAAATGGGGGTACGGGGGCAATGCTATCTGGTGAGTGGAGTCCAGGGATTTTGCTCCACATCCTTTACAGAATGGTCCCCACAACACACAATCATGGGGTGCAGAGTGTCAAAGGTGCTGAGGTGGAGAAACCTTGCTATAAACTCTGCTCACCTAAGAGAAGGCTGCTGAGGTTTTAAGCAGGGGCAAGCCCCTGGCAGAGCTGTGTACCAGCAAGATAAACTCAGCAGTTTGATGGGGGTGGGTAGGAGCTGCTGTAATGCTTCAGGCTAGAATCAAGATACTGGCAGCAGAATCAAGAGGAATGACAAGGCAAAAGAGAGCCCTCCAAGAGTGGAAGCCGATAGGATGGGGACTCAAGAGTCATAAGGAGGAAGAGGAATAGTTTTCAACATAATGAGAAGCTGCCCCTTTAGTGACCAGCCTTGAACAGAAGGTACTAGCAATAACCGCTGGTAGGTATGGAAAGGTTACTGGGTCCCAGGCACTGTAAGTTGCAATATCACAGGTGACCCTCTCAATAACTCTCTGTGGGAAGGGCGATGATGAGTCCCACTTTACAGATGAGCTGAGACTTAGTCAGGCTCACGGTCACGCAGACAACTCTTTCCACATCACACCACCAGTGGTGCCGCAGGACGACTGCTGGGAGAAACCCACTTCTCCACCAAGAGAGACGTTAGCCATGGAATCACTTCCTAGTTTTAGCTCACCCCTTAACCACACCATAGGGAATTCCCTACAAGACAGTCACTTCATCCTTGGTCAGAGGCCAAGCCAGCCCCAAGCCTCGGCAATGAACCTGATGTATTCAACCAACAAAAACACACCCACTTCAGTGATCAGGGAAATACAAACAGACAAGATAGCACTTTTTGCTGAATGGCTTAGCAAAAATGAAGACTACTAAGACTCAGCATTGATGGGTCAGTGAGAGTGTCAGTTCACTTAGTACAGCTTTGAAAGCTCAGAGTACTGTGAAAAAGTTAAATGCATATACTTCCTGCTCTCTGACTCCTCTTCTATACAAGAAGAAACACACAATGCAGCCCAAGAAATGCAGCATCATTGAAACTAGAAGCTACCACATATCAAGAGCGCTGTTACTGAACCATGTGCATCCATGCACAGCCCAGGAAACTTCAGAGCCATTCAAAAGAACCAGAGGTCTGTATGTAGCCGTGGAAGGGTGAGCCTTGATACCCTGAGGGAAAGACAAGTTGCTGACCCACTGCATGTGGAGAGGAGAAGAAATGTTGGAAAGCAGACACCATACTGACCAGAGGCTACCCGCACACCAGAGGTGGCAGGTGAAGGGAGAGCTTTCATTTCTCACTTCATTGAGTCCTCCTGTTTGAAATTTTATACAGGTACATACTAAATTGCAAATTTTTTTTTTAACTTTTTTTTTCTTTTTTAAATGCTGGGGCACAAAAAGACCCAGGGTGGCCAAAGTATGGGCCTATAAAGGATTTTTTTGAACCAGACAGATTAAAACCAACCACAGAGGCTTCTAACCTGTGTCTCCCTCTGCTTCCCCTTCCTTCAGCCTGCAATCGGAATGACAAGAGTTCCGACATGAGGCAGAGGCAGGTGTGTTCTGGTGCCAGGTAAAGATTTCAAAACCGAAACACCCCAGCAGCACCCCAGGGGCACACTCACCTGAGAAAGTGTTGTCTGCAAAACGTAACAGTAAACTGCTCTTGCCTACACCTGCAAGAAAGAAAGCAGGAGATGAGAGGAGGGACGGGTCCCCTCCCTCCAACCCAGTCCCCCTTCCTTCTTCAGGGAGAGGACACTCAGGTCCTAACTCTTAAGCTCAGAGAGACCCAGCTCCCTCCTCAATGACGCTTTTGATCTCAAGCAGCCACACCCCAAGAACATCTCCCCCATTCAATCTCTGACCTTTTCCAGGGTCCTAGTGTAAGACAAACTGCCCCCCCCCAAGCCCAGGAGAGAGATGAGAAAAGGACTCGTGCCCAGGTTCTGTGCTGAGGGCTAGCTAGCCTCAGCAACCCAGAGGAAGGTACCAGATGACAGAAATAAAGAAGGGAAAGGTCAACCAAATGATACGGGCCCCCACGTGCATCTAAAACATGGTCCCAAGAAAACTGCACATCATGTATGGAGCTTTGGTTTGTGCGCAATGTGAGGCGAGGACCTGCAGAGCTGCAAAGAACCCTTGAGATCATTGGGGCTATTCTGCAGGTGAGGAAACAGGCCCAGACAACTAGAACCAACTGTCAGCCATCTTACCCCAGTTATGTCACTGTCAGCTGGATCAGTGAGGAGGGGTGTCTGCCATACACCTATCAGCCCAACAGCTCCCATGTACTCAGAGCATTTCACTTGCCACAGCGTCTGCTGGCACACTTGTTACCAGACAGGCGGAACCGTCATAAGCTTGGCTTCCTTTTACTTCAACACACAGCAGCTTTAGCCTGCCAGGTGCAACTTGTCATGTGTCCTCCTGTCCCATCCCCTACCCCCACCACCCCTAAGGCCAGCTGGGTCAAGTGACCACAGAAGGAAAGAATTAGCATGCATATAGTGCTGTGTGTGTGGTGGGCACTTCAGTGCTCCTATAACTCCAACTGCATCTGTTAAAATGAGGCAACTGAAGCTCCAAAAAGCTAAGCAGCTGGCCTAGGGGCCTCCATGGGAAGTGTGAGCTGAGATCTGAATCCAGGGCTGTCTACTCCAGAGCTCTAAAGCTCTTTCCAATACACTGCTCAGGGAGTCATCTTGTGTCCCTTTCAGGAAGTTGAATACAAAGACCCCAAAGGGGCTCCTGCATCTCACTCCTGGTCAGCTTTTAGCAGCAGTGCTATAAAAGCTAATTTGAAGAGATCTTAGCCTAGGGTCTCAGGAACCCCCATAACTAAGTGCAAATGTTGAGTATATGTGCACATTCATGGGGAGGAGCCCACAGTATATTCATCAGCACCACAGAGAGGGTACTACCTCCACCCCCATCCCCAGCTTTGCTTCTCTAACCCTAACTAATCCAGAAATCCTCTGATGATCTCATCTGGAGACTTCTCCAAGTGAATACACTGTCCAGGGAGGCCCAGGAAAACTTGTTTTATGCAGTAAACCTGGGTCTGACCTTCCCAAAGGCAGGCCTGGGGTACTGCACCCATGGTACCTGCTGCTCAGCCCCTGCCTGTGCCGGCAGTGCTCTTGCTCTGAGCCACTTCCTCATTGCTGCCTCTGCGAGGCTTCCTGCTGAGCCCAAGGAGAGCCCAAGTCCTGGGCTGGGTCCCTCACGCAGCTCTGCCCAACACCAACACCCCATCAGCCCTGCCAGCTCCTTTGCTTCCTCCTGGAGACTTCTGGGTCCGCTTACTCAGCTACAAGCTGTGTCTGGGCAACTAGGCTGTGAGTTCTTCTAGGAAGGCGATCTAGCCTCACCCAGGACATTCAATGTGCTGGAAGCCAGGCCCAGCACTTAGTAGGTGCCAGTGAAACACTGTGTAATGAATTATGACTAAACGGACGCCAATCACACTGACAGCTATGCTATCTAAAACTATGACTGCAGCATTAACAGGAGCCAAAGCAGTGGTTTTCAAACTTTGGGGAGTAGCAGAATCCTTTTTTTAAGTTAAATTTTATCTGACTCCTCTACATCTAAAACAGGTAAGAGGGAGGTGCTCTCTCTGCATGAAGCAATAAAGCAGCAGAGTTCCCTCCAGCTTG